TCTTTGGCGTCGTTATTCCAATTACCTAGCGTTGCAGACCGGTGGAATACGAGTTGTATGAAAATTGGACTGCCAAAAACTAAATTTTTCGCTACTTAGATTTATAGTGCTATGCAAATTTTTAGCTCGATCCAAACATAAATTTGACTTTGTATGGCATTTGATCTTTGCATTTTTATTTTTTTTCACTTTTCTTATCAATTGCTTAAAGTTTTTTACAGCTTCTGTTAGAAAGCTTAATTTTATCACTTACGGCTTTCTCTAGAGATGCCAACGGCTAGGCCGAAAAAGTATAAAAGTTTCAGGTCTTTCCCAATATCCTCAACCTAGTCCGAACATCAAACCATACTCTTATTTTCTCAGCAAAGCACCGGTCGATTGAGGGCGGCAGTATCACTTAACATAGAAACAAAAAAACTTGGCTATTAAAAAGAGTGGCGGAGACTTTATTGCCATTTCTCTTCCGTTCTTTGAGAACTGGCAGTAAATGTAAAATTAGAAGCATTATTAAATGCTATATATAAGCTTATTCAATACATATTAAAGTATTTCCTTTTTTTACGTTCATAAGTGAACATTGTGTTACCTATATGAATAAATGATTTTGATTTGATTTGATTCGGTGACCCTCTAGCCCTTGCTCCTTTTATAAAATCAAAGAACAGGGCGTTACCCCGTCCTATAAAAAAATGGCCATCGAGAAATCCTATCCTTCCTAGTGAAGTTAATCTATTGTTATACAGTATACACATACACCGATTCCAACTCGTTGCACAGTACACCGCACCGCGCACCTTCGACATAAGTTGTATTAATTTATTTACACTTCGTTACTTTATACAAAAACACACATAAAAAGCAGGTTACAAAAGTAAGTAGGCAACGGGCGGCCTTATCGCTAACAAGCGATATCTTCCAGGCAACCTTAATATGTAACAATAAAAAAGAAACACCTACAGAGGGTAAAGTACAAGTGCATAAATAATTAACAAAAAGAACTCAAAATAACATAAAACCTATAACAAAAATAAAATAAAACTTAAATAAAAAATAAATAAACAATAATATGTATAAATAGAAATGTAAATCCAAGGGTTAATTGAGTCACAATTAATATGTATAAGTAGTAGCTAATTACGAGGCAGAAGAAAAATGATCAAAAAGAAGATTTTTATCATTAGGTAAATAATTCCATTGCAGGATACTTAACAGTAAAGGAGGAGTGATAGAATTCAGTTCTATAAGTAGGAGTTTTAAGAATTAGATTGTCATTGTGTTATTTTCTGGGAATAATTAAGTGTCGAAAGCCTGATAACCAACAGGTATTTTTCTAAATTATTATTTCCTTCCTTTTGGGGATTTGACCTTTTCCTCTAATGAATGGGTAATATGACCCCTTACCACGTAAACCGCCATCTCGTGGTCGCAGGCGGCGCAGCGCACAGCGCGACATCTAGTACACTTACACGACATTTGTTTTCAATTATTTGTCTACATTTCTTCAATATAATGATTTAGCGAGACTTATTATCCTGAGATTATTTATTAGTTTTATTGACACGTACATGTCCTTTGTAATGATGATATATGACAGAGAATGTAGGGAAATAGATTTAAGACATGAACGATTGTTCACAAAACAGTACACGAAACGAAACATAAGAAGTTCATATAGTATAAGCACTACCTGAATTGCTTTAAATTCATAAGTTAGTCATACATTAGTTTGTTCGATCAGCCGTCTATTTTGTTAAGGGTCTGTAACTAAAGGCCATACCAACCACTGCCTGTATTCAAGCATTTTTGATTAACAAGTTAATAATAATGACTATGAAATCTCTATTACACTTGACTATTAAATACTCATTAATTTATAGATCTACTATCTTTGGTATTAAATACACATTAATATATTCTATATTATATTAATATATTCTCGTTACAGTTGTTTTATCTTGAGCTGTTAAGTTAGTATTAGGAGCTTAAAATTGCTATTTATTTTCGTAATTCAAATGTAAAGTAAAGTATTGAATTGTAATAAACTACCTAAAATTTATTTTATTTGTAGTACAATAATATAACTTATTTATATGAAAATTTATTTGGTTATCAAAGTGTGCCATATAAAATTAGAATTAAAAACTGCAATTTGAATTTATAATATTTATTTGGAATAACTGTGATGAAAGTGTGTGTGTGAAATCTTATTCATCTGAATCAGAAGAACTTGAATTTTGCATCTGTCGGATTCAGTATCCAACTCATTATGTAAATAATCAATTTATCAAATCTGCGTCACACATCAATCTCTATTCCAAGACCCTATCCTCAAGGTGGTCAATATGTTCACTGTTTTTACCAGTTTTCAACAAAGATAGATATAAAGTCTGCCTCAGTCAAATTAACAATATTATTTGGCTCTTGGTCTATAAATCTTCAAAATAAAGAAAAACAAGACTATATAAATTCATTAGAAAATCATCAGGTCCACCTACATACACATACATGACTTTCACTCATAATGTTTAAGTACCTTAATATCCAGGTTACAATTATGTATTTTCATGATTCCTTTTTGAACCACATTTTAACATGGAAAACTTTTGTGACAAATAATATTTCATTAAGTGATTTGACCACAGTGAAAATTTCTGTCATATTTAATTCGGCTAAGAGTTTCCTTCAAGTTGGTGTCTCTGTTTAACAACATACGACATGTATGTTGTTAAACAGAGACACCATACTTGACATCCATATTATTTAGGACAGTGAAAAGACCAAAATCATCTAATGTAATTTTTTTTCTTGATGGTGTTTTTTTTGGCAAAGAAATTATTTGGGATCGGGAAGCAGCTACTTCACCTTTGGTAATCGTGCTTACGGTTTTTTAAAATACTCCTGTAACAAAAAAAAAGGGTGCGTGGACTTATGTACGCGCGTAAGAAGTTATACTTCTTTGGCTTTCTTTATTTTTTTTTAAATATAATTAATTAATAATTAATTTTTAACGTAAACAATTAAATAATATTTAGTATATTATTCAATTATTAATTAATATTAATAACAATTATTATTTTATTATATTATTCATTCAATTTAATAACTTGGTATGTTTCATAACCTTTTAACTAAGTAACAATAGGTCTTTGTGAAAAAACATTGCTAAATTTCTTTGAAAAAATAATTAAAACTCCTTTATTTGTTTAAAAGGTAAATGTCATTATGGTCATTCAAAATTCTTGGCATAGCTGCTAACTTCACGCATATTCTATTTCTTTTTACTTGTAGATTGTATTATTCCCATCTCGCTCGCGCACGCTATAATCACACTGACAACTTTGTGTCTCAGGTGCGCACTGCGCATCGTAAAATTTCACTCTCATCAATTTATCATAACGCGCCTAAAGAAGTATAACTTCAAAAATCTTCAATGATATATACCTATGACTATTGTTTCATGAAGATAATGTTTTATTTGTATTAAAATACACCATAACCTGTTGACAAAACCACATACCATTGTTTTGTCAACAGAGTACTGTATCGTACCTATAAGACTTTATTATTGAAGAGAGTAATGAGAGACGTTTAGGCAATCTAGCCTCTGATAAAATTGGTTAAAATGTTTTACGTAGCTAACTGATTTATATACCTGTCATGGCACTCACTTTTACAAGGGTTATCAATAATGTCCATTCCAAGATCACTAATAATAAAACCCAAAATAAAACATAAGGAGCTCCACCACAGTCCACACGATGACTGGACAGTAATGCCAACTAGAACTAACTGAAAAGCGACATTGTAAGTTGTCAAAGGTAAACACTAAACAGTGCACGGACTATTTTTAACAGTTTTTAACTGAATTGTCTTTGACGATGTTAAATGCTGAAAACTGACAGCGTATTGTTATGGACCAAGCGATGATAGCGACATCTGCAATTAGCCATCTCTTCTTTCATAAGCCAGACTCTGTGCGTTTTCCAATTACAGCACTAGAGCGCATTATGCGGCATAATGCTCAACGTTGAATGTTCCAACTACAGCAACGCTTCGCACAATTGAGCACTCTCAAAACGAATGCTCTCGCGTGCTTCTCGCAATAAATACCAACACAGTGACAGAAAATTGACCAGTGTTTTTCTTTAAGGTGGCATTTATCGAAATTTTCGTTAGTAAATATTATTTATTGTTGAAAAATTTTTAAGGCTTTCGTTTCGTCGTAGATTTTGAAAATAATTAAAGTTATTTCAAACTGCTAAAAAAAATAAATATAAGTATGGATGAAGGTATAAATAGTTACTTTTTTTATATTCCACATTTAAAATAAGAATACAATTTTATTTAAAAATCGGATCTGTAAACAATTTTATTTTACAGGATTATACTTTTCATCATCATTTAAAAAAAATTACTCAAAACGTAAATGATGTAAACTTCTTACATGAAACTATATATTTTACTGTTAATTTAGCTTGTTAAAACCTTATATTCTTTAAAGGTTTTCTCTTATTTCAGTAAAAAAATGTTAATGAAATAATTTGATTATTAAAATAAGCGTAAAAAGTTTTCAACCAATTATTATTGTTAACCACATTATTTATACATTAATGAGGTTGCTAACTCTATTCAGAACATTTTTTTTTTTTCAACACTGACTTAGCGCACTCTGCTGATGCATTTGAAGACTAATTCACGTTCCAATTAAGCTTCAGCATTATGCGGCATTGTGCGGCACTGAGTCGCATAATGCTCTGTAATTGGAAAACGCACTCTATAATATGGTATATTATTTATAGTCTGTGGTTGTGTATGCTTCATATTACCTGTACGGTGTACCAATCGTAAAAAAAACATTGGCTTCATTGTCCAATGACCAATCACCAATCTCTGTGTAACGCCCTACATAATTCTGTTGTAAATTCAGCAACAATAATGTTAAATAATTGACTTAATAAAATTATTTTTTAGTTCTATTTTTAGTTATTATTGTTGTTATAATGTCTGTGAGTGCTAGCGCGGAGAATCTATCGACTGCTGATACACAAGTAAGTAAACGGTATAAAAAGTTAGTGTATCTAACAGTTTAGTTGCGCTGTATAATATATAGGCAGTGATCGTTGCTTTGGCCTAATTCAATTTAGCGATGTTCTTAGTTACGTATCGACAGGCTGAATGTCGTGAGTCATGATGCATTGGGGTCCTAATGCGGAAATAGACGACGTCCGTTGACGCTACAGAACAAAGGGACAAGCTGTTTTACTATTGTTAACACTAGAAAAACCTTATATAACTTGGTCAAATGTTATCTTACCAACCATAAACCGGTATATAGGAGCAAATTTTCATTGCAGTGTAAAACTCTTATATTAAAACATCAATGCCTTTTCTGTATATATGACACACCCTTTGTCTACTGCCTTCTCTTAGTTGATGTAGCCCAAGCTTCAAAGTAAATTGTAAACATTATGAACAAAATTTTATGAACTGGATCTTCATATTTTGCAACCTGCTAAACCTTCAAAGTCTTGAAATATTAATGCTAATAAAATTTTAATGTTATGAATCACTGTTAATTGTTAATTTTTAATGACATTAAGGGTTCTTGGTTATTACAAAGGAATTTTCTTGGTGTAGAAACATAATTTAATTTTGAATTTATCTAATAAGATAAGACAATAAAAAAAATCCTATTACCTTACAGTATATGGTAAAGTTAATTTTAAAGTAGTAAATACATAGTCATAAATGTATGTTTTCTAATATTCTTTATAATGATTAAGTGTTATAAAGTTCTGACTTGAATATTAATGGTGTGCATTGCATGCATCACTGGTATTTGAAGCAGTTATGTAATGTATAATTATGTGCACTGAACAACAGGATTAGGCTTCCTACATTGTATAACTAGTTTTACAGTTATTATCTCATTCTCACATCTATATCTCTCACTTATGTATGTATACAATTATTATTATTATAAATGCTTGGGTTTTATTTATATTATTAATATAGTCTGTGGGTTCCTAAGGGGTTTACTAGATTTTAAAAAACTGTGATTAATCAATTTGATAATACTAATTCATAGTATTGTCTTTGATTAACATAACTTTTATTCATTTAATAAAACACTATTTTGACCGGATTGAGTCACCGTGACCACGCACGCTGTAAAGCACGCGAAACGTCGGATAAATTTAAAATTATGTTAAATAGTTGTAAATTTATAATAATACATAACTTCAATCCGGTCAAAATAGTGTTTTATTAAATACTAATTCAACTTTATTTTAGAGCTGCGATGGAGGTTCCATGTGTTTGGAGCTGGCGCTGGAAGGGGAAAGACTTTGCAAGGCGGGAGATTGCCGTGCAGGTGTTGCCTTTTTCCAAGCAGCCATACAGGCAGGCACTGATGACCTGCGGACCTTGAGTGCTATATACAGCCAGCTTGGCAATGCTTACTTCTACTTAGGAGATTACAATAAGGCCATGCAATATCATAAACATGATCTCACATTAGCAAGGTTTGTATTGAAACTTTTTGTGTCTTTTTCACTTTAAATTGTATAAAAATGTACTACAAAATATTTAACCCTTTAAAATATCTATTTCAGGACCATGGAAGACAAGTTAGGCGAAGCAAAGGCTTCTGGTAACTTAGGAAACACATTAAAAGTGATGGGCAAGTTCACAGAAGCAATACAGTGTTGCCAGCGACACTTGGAGATATCAAGAACATTGGGAGATAAGTTAAGCGAAGGGCGAGCTTTATACAACCTTGGCAATGTTTACCACGCCCAGGGCAAGCATTTAGGACGCGCGGGACAAAGCGATCCGGGACACTTTCCGCAAGAAGTACGTGACTGCCTCCTGCAAGCTGTCACTTACTATGAGTAAGTTTCGTCGAATTTCACTATATTATGGTAGAACTACGAGTGACATAGCTTCACTCTCACTCAGATTTCATTGAAAATTATTTTTTTTCTAATTCCATGTTTGCCTGTTGCCAATTTCTCTGTGGAACTATTGTGATATATATCTTTAAAGGTGGTAATAAATTAGCTTTTTGTGGTATTTCAGAGAGAACTTGGAATTGATGCGCAGCGTAGGCGATAGGCAGGCAGCGGGTCGGGCTTGTGGCAACCTCGGCAACACTTGCTACCTTTTGGGAGATTTTGCGAAGGCGATCCGGTACCATAAAGAGAGGCTTCGGATTGCCCAAGAAGTGGGTGATCGCGCTGCCGAACGCCGCGCTAACAGCAACCTCGGCAACTCTCACATCTTTCTTGGCCAGTTCGAGAATGCTGCACAGCACTACAAGTGAGTACATTGAGTTAGAGCTGTATATCAGTTATTCTAAGCTTGCGATGAAACATCACTTTCAAAAATTGTGGACTAAATTATTGGGTTCAGGCGAATTGTTGATTGTTTGAGCCAGATGCCTCTTTTTGACCGTCTATGGGAACATGGGAAAGTCGGAGGGTTCATATGTAACACTTATTATAATATAGAATTATCATCTCGATTAATAATGGTAGTATAATCTGTCCAAAAGCTAATGCGAAATTTGGCAATGGCTTAGATGTGGCTTTGCTTCAAAATTTGTATTATAATGTTTTTATTATGTGTGTTTTTGTATTTTCTACCCTTACACACACTGGGGTAAGCTTTTGTAGTATCAATGATTGTCGAGGAAAGTCCTCCAATTGAAATGTAAAACACAGATTCGTAATTCGACTTCCAGGCGAACCCTAGCCTTAGCCGAAGAACTGGGCGACGCAGCAGTCGAGGCTCAAGCCTGTTACTCCCTCGGAAACACGTACACGTTGCTTCGGGAATATCGAGTGGCCGAGGAGTACCACGCGCGCCATTTGGCCGCCGCCAGAGCTCTGAACGACCGAGTGGGAGAAGGCCGAGCCTGCTGGTCGCTGGGCAACGCCCACGCAGCCCTAGGAAATCACGAAAAAGCTCTCTACTACGCCAAAGAACACTACAATATCTCTAAAGAGGTGAGTGTTTGGGCTTCAAGGCTGTGTCCTTTAACTCCGCCCAATATTATGACTGACCGTTCTCTTGCAGTTGGGCGATGTTCTGGGAATGGCGACGGCGCAGATGAATATCGGCGACCTTTGTAAGGTGCTCGGTCTTCCTGCAGACAACGGCGTCTCACCACCGTCGCCACGCGCGGCGCCTCCTCCCCGCACACCCTTCAATGCGTTGCGTGTGCGCAGGCAGAGTATGGAGCAACTGTCTCTTATACAGGTGCGATTGTTGTAATAGCTGATTTTGCCAGACAAAAATGACTAATTCGAGTCTTATAGTACTGAATTTTAAATTAAAACACGGTTTTTTTAACTGATTTAAAAAGAAACCGAAGTTATTAAGGTTATCAAGTCGATGAATCGCAAAAAAAATTGAAAACCTAGCCACTCGTCCCAAATGGTTCATTAAGTGTCGCCGCACACGGGCCACACGCGACAGCCACAAACGCCGCCACGAGAAGCTAGAAGCGGCTACAAAGGTAGCTGAAGCGCGCGACAGCCACTTGTGGCCGGTGGTCGACACTTGCGGTCGGTGGCTGCTACTTTTTTTAACCCTTGCGTGCAGTATCATAATGGACTCTGACGAAGAAGGTATTTTTGATAAAAAGACGTCGTCGTAGAATACGAAACCGTAGTTATTGGATACACAGAAAGACATTAAATATCCCCTCACCACGACAGGTCGGTAATCGACAACCATTGAACTATACATTTGTTGGTGATGAAGCATTTGGCCTCAGTGAAAATATGATGAGGCCATATGCTGGAAAATATTTGGACTTAGACAAAAAAGTTTTCAATTATAGGTTAAGCCGTGCCAGACGTTGCCTTCGTGTACCTTCGGCGTACTAGCAAACAAATGGAGAATATTACATCGCCCATTAAACACTTCTGTTCATTTCTCAGAAGACATTGTGAAATCTTGTTGCATTTTGCACAACTTTATTCGCAAAAGGGATTGTTTCAATTTTCGTCACACTTTGAAAATAGTGGGACTCGAAAATATACAAAATACAGGCTGCCGCACGAGTGTCTACTGCAAGAGATACGTTAAAAGATTATTTTATGAATGAAGGAGCAATACTGTGGCAAGAAAATAGAATATAAATATATGGTTTTATATTATTTTATTAAACTTACCTTCAATGTTCTTTTCTTTGGCAGTTTTATTCGAAAAATTTCCCACAAACAATTCGCAGATTTCTTCCCAGGCCTTCACTTTTTCTCCTCTATTACTAAAACTAACACTTTTTGAATCCCAAATCGCAGGACGGGATTGTATTTCTGATATAAATAATTCTATATCCATATTTATCTACCTATATGAACCACAGACTACGTGCGTGCGTTACCGTCCACTTCAGGTTAACTGAGGCAAGGGAGAGACGGGCGCGGAATCGCGCGAGTGGCGTGTGGCGGTTTTTTGTGTCGGCGTTTAGTGGCCGGTGCGAGCCACAAGAAGCAAGCTGCGACGATTTGTAGCGTGTGGCCGCCACCGGCGCCAACTGTGTGCGTCGAGTCCATATAAAATGTATGAAAATTACAGGAAATATGCCAGTGGCGGCGTTTTGTGGTTGTGGCCGGTGGCCCGTGTGCTTGACCCTTAACCATAGATTGCTTTGTTAGCTATGCTTTTGATGTAAAATATGAAAGCGTCTCAGTGGAGAACGCAAACTATTCACAAAGGCTCTGATATTAGCGGTACCTGCCCTGCGATTCTGTAACTCACTTTTCGAACTCACACAGCGGTTTTCGCATCGGCGGTCTCTCTTAAATCAGTCGTGAAGCAGTCATTTTATGATTTGGCATTTTGATAAACATTAAACTACAAGCTCCCACCTTTTAAGAATGCCAAATCATAAAATGACTGCTTCACGACTGATTTAAGAGAGACCGCCGATGCGAAAACCGCTGTGTGAGTTCGAAAAGTGAGTTACAGAATCGCAGGGCTGGTCGTAATAATACCACTATTTATTCATGAATTTTTACTAACTTATAGAAATACATTATACGTATTTGGATTTGTAATAGTTCCACCATTATGTTGGTACATTTATTTGACACTTACATAATAACCTAATATTTAAAAAAATAGTAAACATAAACAATGCCACATGGAAGGTTATAGTATATTGGTTGCTTTCCCTTTTAAAGCACTCAAATATTATAATAAATTGCTTTTTATAAGTTGAATCGACTCCAATTAGACCTGCAGCTCCTTACAAACGTTGTGTAAAAAAAAAAATTTTGTCGGAGTCGGGATGTGACGACCCCATCGCCCACTGGTGAAATAACCTGTGACAGAGGTTATTTCATCAGCGCAATCAGTCAACCCCTTCCTAGTGGGAGTGCCATGCTGTTGCCTTCGGGCTTCAGCCAAATGGGCAGGCACGACCGGGGCAGTACCACTGTCTCTTAGAAAACCGGCGTGAAGTGATGCAATAGGTTCGCCTTATTGTACTCGCGTTTCGTGCGGTGAGGGAGACTCCCGGAGCCCATCCCCCCCCCCCCATATGAAATATGAAGGTGCAGAAAAAACAGAATCTACCCCAGGGGAGTACCACACCCGCTCGCGGTGGAGAATCCCCCTCTGGGCGTCCAACACCGGGACACTCAGCACCCGGTGGTGGACGCACAGGCTGCCCTTCGTATTCTGGGGGGGGCAATTCTGCGCTCAACAAAAACAGTTATCGTTCTCGGGGCAAACGGAGCAATTCAACAAAGGCACCCCCGTCCACGCTCGCCGTGGACTTCACAAATGTTAGAGGGCTCAATTCCAATATCAACGCAGTCCACTACCATTTAGAGACTGCGAAGCCGGCCTTGCTCTTTCTTACCGTGACTCAGATTTCCTCCCCGGCTGATACTTCCTACCTCTCCTACCTACCTCCTACTACGGGGTACAAATTGGAACATTCATTTGTGCCGCGGGCGGGAGTTTGCGTGTACGTCAGAGAGGATATCTGTTCTCGTCGCCTCGGGACGCTTGAAGGAAGGGACCTATCTAACCTCTGGCTGCGCGTAGACTGCGATGACCATCCGCGATTCTACGCATGCCTGTATAGGTCCCATAGCGGAAATACCGAAACTGACCGACTCATTGAGCACATCCAAATGGCTACAGATTCCCTGCTCGAAAGGGTTCCTACCGCTGAAATCGTGATACTTGGCGATTTTAACACCCACCATGCCGATTGGCTCGGCTCTGAAACCACCGATCACGCGGGAAGATCCTTTCACAACTTTGCTTTAGCCTACGACCTGACACAAATGGTCCCTGCGATTACGCGAATACCAGATGTGGATGGTCATAAACCCTCTTTGTTGGACCTTCTGCTGACTTCACATCCGGAGAACTATCAAGTCTCTGTTGACCCGCCATTGGGTTAATCGGATCATTGTGTGGTCCGGAGTACTGTGCCATCTACGCGCCCTTCACGGCCCCGCTTTATGGGTTGTCGCCGTATTTGGCACTGTAAGTCAGCAGATTGGGACGGGATGCGGTCTTTCTTTGCGTCCTACCATTGGGGACCTATGTGCTTTTCGCCGGAAGCTCCAGATTCCGTCGCCGCCTCTGTCGCCGAAGTGGTTCTGCAGGGCATGGAACTCTTTATTCCATTTTCTGCGGTGCCTATCGGTGGCAAGTCTCAGCCCTGGTTTAAACGTTCTTGCAAGGCGGCCTCGCGTCGAAAGCGAAAATGCTTTAAGGCATGGGCGGAAGCGGCGAAATCTCGTGATGCCAATACCAGCGAACTTAAAACAGCATATAACTCAGCCTCCAGGTCCTTCAAACGGGAAATCACTAAGGCAAAGTCAGAGCACATTGCCAGATTTGGCGAGAGATTGGCCCAGCTCCCTTCAGGGACTCGAGCCTTCTGGTCTCTCGCCAAAGCTGTCCAAGGGAATTTTGTCAGCCCGCCATTCCGCCACTGCACAGGGAAGATGACTCTCTGGCCCACACTGCGAAGGAGAAGGCCGACCTTTTAGGCTGTCTCTTCGCGTCCAACTCGACTTTGGATGACCAAGGAAGATCACCACCGACCATTTCGCGGTGTGATTCTTCGATGCCGGAAATCACATTCCGGCAACGTGCTGTCCGCAAAGCACTAACTTCCTTGGACATTCATAAGTCGAGCGGGCCGGATGGTATCCCCCCAATTGTGCTGCGTACTTGTGCTCCTGAGTTGGCTCCGGTCTTAACGCGCCTTTTCCGGTACCTGTACTCGCTCGGCACTGTCCCGAAGTGCTGGAAGACCGCTTCGATACATCCGATCCCTAAAAAAAGGCGATCGCGCTGATCCGTCCAACTATCGCCCAATAGCTATAACCTCCTTGTTCTCCAAAATAATGGAAACCATTATTAATTGCCAGCTCTTGTGGTATCTAGAGGGCCACCAGTTGATTAGCGATTCTCAGTACGGCTTTCGTCGTGGTCGCTCAGCTGATGACCTCCTTGTATACCTTACCCATAGGTGGGCAGAGGCAATTGAGTCCAAGGAGGAGGCGCTGGCGGTAAGTTTGGACATAGCGAAAGCCTTCGATCGGGTGTGGCACAGAGCACTGCTCTCGAAGCTTCCAGCCTATGGGCTTCCCGAGAAATTATGCGATTGGATCTCCAGCTTTCTGGCCGATCGGAGCATCAAGGTCGTCATCGACGGAGCATGTTCCGACCTTAAACCTGTGAACGCTGGGGTCCCACAAGGCTGTGTTCTATCCCCGACCCTATTTCTTTTGCATATCAATGATATGTTGCAACTTAGCAACATTCATTGCTATGCGGATGACAGCACTGGGGATACTTTTTACACTGGCCGGGCAGGTATTTCTCGGGCAGTTGTTGATGAGTACCGGAACAAACTTGTGTCTGAAGTCGAAACTCTACTACGTGGAGTCTCAGACTGGGGCAGACAAAACCTAGTCCAATTAAACCCCAAGAAGACACAAGTTTGCGCGTTTTCCGCTAAAAAAACACCCTTTGTCGCTACTCCTCTTTTCGAAAACACTCTTCTTAAAGCCACAGCCAGCATTGGAATACTTGGCGTTGACATATCAAACGACGTTCAGTTTCGCGGTCACTTGGAGGGAAAGGCTAAATTAGCCTCCAAAAAGCATGGTGTGCTCAGCAAGGCGAGGCGGTACTTCACTCCGGGCCACCGCATGCAACTATATAAAGCGCAAATTAGGCCCCACATGGAGTACTGCTCTCACCTCTGGGCGGGGGCTCCCCAGTACCAGCTCCTTCCACTTGACCGTATACAACGCAGAGCGGTTCGAATCGTCGACGACCAATCCCTCTCCGAGCGGCTTGATCCTTTGGCGTTGCGTAGAGATGTGGGGTCACTCTGCATCTTCTACCGCATTTACCATGGAGAGTGTTCAGAGGAGTTGTTCGGATTAATACCTGCAGCTGAGTTTCATCATCGGACGTCGAGACAGAATACGAAATTCCACCCGTATCACCTCGAAGTCCGCCGTTCCACAACTGAGCGTTTTTCAAGGCAGTTTTTGCCGCGCACCACCACTATGTGGAATCAGCTGCCCACTGAAGTATTTCCGAACCAATTCGACTTAGGGTCGCACTCGCGAGCCCTCTGGCATTGAGAGTGTCCATGGGCGGCGGTATCACTTAACATCAGGTGAGCCTTCTGCCCGTTTGCCCCCCGTTCTATAAAAAAAAAAAAACATGGCGATTAAAAAGAGTGGCGGAGAGTTTATTGCCAGTTATTCTCTTCCGTTCTACGCCCTTGATTTGAGAACAGGCACTTAATGTAAAATTAGAAGCATTAATATGTATTTCTTTACTGACAAGTCATAAGTGTTCAATGTTACCTATATGATTAAATGATTTTTGAATTTGAATAAAAGGTATTAAATATCAATATTTTCTATTTCTATTGGTTGTTATTATCAAAAGAAATAAATTTCTTAATCGATAATTATTTATTTATATAATAAAATAACGACTTAATTAACCAATAATTTAACGAAAAACTTGGGAGTTCCGCCAGAATTCTGAAATGCCAGTCAGGTTTTTGCCAGTCACGCCAAAATTTAGCCGCGCGTTAGGGCGTGACAAAATATAGCGGCATTCGAGCGCGGCGTTCGAGCGCGGCGTTCCGCACTATCAGTTTATCCAAGTGCCGCGCGCTTTATTGTGTACAGGTGCATTCGCATTAGCGATGATCGATATTAGAAAAACACCGATATTGACATGAATATCATAAGAACCTTTTAATCTATTTCTTTGTTGATAATGAGTAGTGAGAGAGACTACGAAGAACGAATGAACGAACGAAGTGATTTGTGGATGTGTTCATAGAAGACTTACATTTTTTCGTAACTTTCTTTGGTCGTGGCGAGGCCGTGAGCTAACATTGATGTTCTTTGTTGATAATGAGTAGTGAGGAAGCGCGAGCGAGAGAGCGAGCGAGACAACGAAAAACGAACGAAGTGATTTGTGGATGTGTTCATAGAAGACTTAAATTTTTTTGTAACTTGCATTGGTCGTGCCGAGGCCGTGAGCTAACATTGATGTTCTTTGTTGATAATGAGTAGTGAGGAAGCGCGAGCGAGAGAGCGAGCGAGACAACGAAAAACGAACGAAGTGATTTGTGGATGTGTTCATAGAAGACTTAAATTTTTTTGTAACTTGCATTGGTCGTGCCGAGGCCGTGAGCTAACATTGATGTTCTTTGTTGATAATGAGTAGTGAGGAAGCGCGAGAGAGAGAGCGAGCGAGACAACGAAGAACGAACGAAGTGAACGCCCGAACGAACGAAGTGATTTGTGGATGCGTTCATAGAAGACTTAAATTTTTTTGTAACTTGCATTGGTCGTGCCGAGGCCGTAAGCTAACATTGATGTTCTTTGTTTATAATGAGTAGTGAGGAAGCGCGAGAGAGAGAACGAGCGAGACAACGAAGAACGAACGAAGGGAACGAACGAACGAAGTGATTAGTGGATGCGTTCATAGAAGACTTAAATTTTTTCATAACATGCATTGGTCGTACCGAGGCCGTGAGCTAACATTGATGATCATCGACCATCCCTTATACGCATTGAGCATTCGTTGTTGTGCCCTATGCCGCATGTTGCTGCCGCGCACCTGTTTGGTCACGCCCTTAAATGAACATACAGTATTTCCTGTAATCAATATTCAAAATTAGTTCAGTTTGGTGAATAATGGAATAATTAATATTGTTTAAGCAGATAACACCCGAAGCGAAGAAGAAAGAAGCCGAAAGGAGTGAGGTGGCCGAGTCCCGTGGGGTGGCGCGGACTAGCTCTGAAGACACAGAACATCCCGCTGAAGTGTTCATGGAGCTCATTGCTAAGAGCCAGGCTCAAAGGTACTTATTTCATAGACAAAACCCTCGACAGAATGCTATCTCTTAAAACAGTTTCGCGTAAAAATGTACATACATTAGTTATAAAAACATTATGCATTGTACAGGATGGACGAACAGCGCGCTACTCTGGACAAAGAGAATAGACCGCGCCCTCTTCCAAGGTCATCGAGCGCCACTTCTAACAGGTGAGTACTCAGTGTTACAAATCTGTGTGAGAGGGCAGGATTACCAGAAATTCCTGGTAAAGCTTAGGTTTCCTAGAAAAGCGGTGCCGTTAACTAACGGCCGTCATTTTACGGTTGTTAATAACGGCCGTCTTTACTTTTTAACATAATGCAAAAAACATAATTTTCGCTCGTCCAAGTCACGTTTCCACTCATGGTATTAATTATTAATTAAACCGCTACACGCGAAAAACGTTGAACTACTGTTTATCACCGCTATGACGGCCGTCATGCAAATGACAGCACCGCTATTTGACGTTACGGTGACACTCAACGTTCTCTAAAAAACCTACTCCGATGTTATTTATAGACAACGTATGGGTGACGTCACCCAACCGTTAGATAACGGCACCACTTTTCTAGAAAACCTAAGCTTAAGCAGGGAGAATGGTCCATGATACGGCCAGCTCATATACCCCCAAGAGTAGTCGGCGGTCTATGCTCTGTGGTTCCAGAAAGTTCCGAACTTCACGCGTATCGCTCAGTTATTTTACCACATATGGATCATATTAGTTAAAAGCTGAAGGAGATTTGCTGCTTCAACAGAACTTGCACTGTTCAAATTATTTTAGTATTCTCTACAAAGGTTTTAAGTTAAGATTTTATGTCTATGAATAGCCCAAATCAATGTTATAGTATAGGTAATAGTGATGATCGTTTCTTGTATTTAGTATTAAGTAATATGTCTAGTATTAATGTATCAGCCCCCTCCGACTCGTTCAGTAAAATATACGCGAATCATCCTAGTTTATTGTTAAGTATTAAATATTCTAAAATATCTTTTTTGCGAACGAGAGGTAATACTTAACTAAGTTTTTAAAAAGCTGACTATGTGTCTATTATAGGGGATCTGAAAACCATAGATTGGAATGATAGCCTACGCGCTCATAATAATGTTAATGATATGGCATCTGAGTTCTACAAAATCCTTAACACCTTGTATATTATGTTTTAATTGTATTTTTTTACATTTTTTAAATTTTAAATTTCTATTTTTTTGTTTGTGAAACTTGTGTTTACGTTAATTGTCACACATTTAAGATGTAAGTTTTTGTAAAATAATTAGTAGATTAAGTATTGTGTGTGATGTCGTAAGCCTAATAAATAAATAAAAAAAAAAAAAAAAAAAAAAAGGTTAGGTTAAATGTTAAAACTTTATTTCTCATTACAAAAAAGAAAGTTTTTTATTTACTGAGAAACTTGATATGTAACGAACGAGATACACGTCGCCATCAGCCGTCCCAATTTTAGTCTAGGCTCATTCTGATATATATCTTTAATGCCCTGTTGAATTGGTTCAACGCGATAATATTAAAAGGTTTATTTTATTTTTACGTGCAGTTGCTCTAGGTGAAAAAATGGCACAAGAATTAAAACATGCAATAGACTTTATATAGATAACTTGTTATAACGATTTCGCCATTTTCTTTTCTATTAAATCGGGTCGATTAAATATTTTTTTTTCTATTAATTTATACAACTAGTAATTGAAGAATTCAATTATTGAAATGTACGAATATTGTCTGTATCATTAAGACCTGGGGGCCATGAGCTTTTATTGCGAGCCTAGTGACAACCTTCAACTGAACTGCATCGTTTATAAAAAGACGTCGAATAAACCAGCCAGTTGAGGATTCCACGTGACCTCAACGGTAATCGGTAATTTAGTTCACTCTAGAAACTTCCTAACATGAGCTTCTGAATGAACTTAAATTGGACCTGTTTGCATTTAAACTATTAGAGAATTAAGTCATTCTGAAAAAGTTACATTTTGTTCATCTTTTTTGTATCCAAGTGTCCAAATATGTAGTTTAAAACAAAAATTCAATATTTTAATTATATCAAAAAAAAAAAGAATAAAAATCGCCGTTTTAATTTCATATATTCGGATAAGTGATAGGAGTTGGCTTTATTTGGAATTAATTTTGAGTTTAGTAAGTGTGATTATGAACAAATTATTTAAAATCGACGAAAATACGAAGCAAAACGGTAAGCCCCTTTTACCGACTTCGAAGATGATGAGTTATGTACTATGGATCAACGTACAAGGTACAATTAAAGATTTCAGTGTATTGCACAAACTATGCTTAGTAATATTCAATTGAATTATTATTGTATTTAAAAAAAAAACAATAAAACACTAGGTAACTTTTATTTTATCGTGCTTTTTTACTCATGTTGTACTTCTTTACATACTGTGTGGACAAATTTTATTTCCCAGTTGTTCTTTCAATGCCTAGGTCTGACACCCGTACATGGAAAAATACACATATTCTATAGTTACTCTTTTCCTTCATTGGTATTTCAATGTCTTTCATCATCTTCTATCTAGTGCCAAAAACCGTTTCCAAGTGTTGGCTCTCTATTTCTTTATGCATGCCCTCTTCTGTGAATATTATTTGCCCGTAAATTTGTATAGTATTTGTTGTGCTGAATTTGACATAATTTTTGTTTGTAAATTCATTGACAAAACTGCCTTCTTGCTTTGTACAGTAACATTGTCTCTAGATTTTTCAAGGTTATCAGGAAATAAGACAATTGTCCGCAAAACGAAGGTGGCTCAAGTGAGCCCGGTCATATTTATTCCTAGGTTCATTCAATCCAAGTTCCTGAAGATCATTTCTAAGACAGCAGAGAATAGTTTTGGCGAGATAGGATCACCCTGACGTACACCTCTTTTAATCGGAAATTCTTCTTCTGTACATTCTAGTTTGACGTGCGCAGTACTCATGGTGTATATGTTTTTAAGTATTCTTATGCATTTTGTTTAACGCATTGTGTTTCAAGTGACCTCCAGATAAATTCGTGTTCAAGGGTGTCGAAAAGTATAAAAATTCTAAAAATAAATAAAAAATTGCATTGGACATCCCTTATCACTTAGAGGTTTGAAAGATATATAGTAGCTGATTTTCAGACTTACTGAATATGCATAAAAATTCATAAGAGTCGGTCGAGCCGTTTCGGAGGAGTATGGGACACGTGACACGAGAATTATTATATTAGATTTAATAACAATCATCTGTCGAAGCAATTTTGACAGTTAAATTAAGTTACATAGAAACTAGAAACAAACTATCGATTAATTTAATTTAGGAATCTAAATTCGTTTTAACGAAGCTCTTGGTCTTTAATTGATGAACAACGTCATTTTAGTAGAGACGCGAAAATAGAACCAACTCCGGGAAAATAAATACAAATACTGCAACTTTATCTACAGCTGTGATACTTTTTGACATTCAACACCTTTTGTCTTCAGTCACTGTGACCTAGCACGCGAAACGTCGGTTAAATTTAAAATTATGTTAAATAATTGTAAATTTATAATAATACATAACATACATACAACGAAAGACAATACTATGAACAACGTCATGTTCAAACTCAGTTAAAGAAAATCCACATGATATTGACATGCGTTACGAAAAGGCCAATCTAGTGTATGCATCGAAATATCGAGCTCGGATTCATATCAATTGAGTATTCTATATTTTGTCGTATGGTGAAATATGGTTCAGAGAACTCGTAGTGCAAGTTAACTTTTAACAAGTAAGATCACTTCCACAACTATGTGAGTTGTAGAAGTGTTTTTTCATGTTCATGGCTTTGGGAGCGTTCAAGTATTACGTAACGTATTTTGAGAGGGGGGGGGGGTCCTTTTGTAAAACGTTACGATGCGGGGCGGGGATTAAATTACGCGTTATTGTTAATATTTTTTTCGACTTACACCACATAATAATAACTAAAGAGTCACTAGGTGGTCACGAAACGTTTTACTATACTTGGGTACTGAATAACGTTACGGTGAGTTACATGGGGGGGGGGGTCAATAATCTCCAAAAATTGCGTTACGTAATACTTGAACGCTCCCTTTAACATTGTGTAATAAACAACAGCTGTCATTTAAATAACTGTATTTTAATTTGGTTCGAGAATAGAGGAAGAATTATATATAAAGCGGACCCGACATACGTTGTCCTCTACAAATGTCTTAAATATAACAAATAATCGTCTTATTCTTAATCTAAAGAAAATAATTATATTTTTTCATGCCGCCATAACCCGTAACGTATGAAACACAGTAAACAATGTTACTATATTTCATTGGGTCAGACGTGAAACGAAAATTGTATCATGCAAAACTTTCTATAATGATTTTTGGCGCACCATTTATACTTCGCCGCCCTTAATGTATTTATAAGTGTATGAAGTTGTACACTAGTTGCCTAAAGTAGGCTTGAAACACTCGTGTTTTTATAAGCCCCTTTACGCTGCAGTTGTTATTTCATTATCATTATTATTGTTAGGAGATCTCTTTTCACATTGACGTAGTCGCCGGAGACCGGATGCTGAGTTGCGACTTAAGAAGTAGTTAAGAAATACTAAGAATAACATGGAGTCGCATTTCACTTAAACCAAATCGTAAGGTAGCGTTTTGTGTGATGTTTTAAGTTTTTCTCAGCTTATAGGTTACTTCGTCGACGTCGATATTTGCTTATAGACCTGAAGTGACGATTGCAAAAGAATTTTTATGAAATGAATAATGAAAGTTTAATAATTAACTGTTAAAGTCAAATTCAGAACTTATATTGATTTAGCTACAGTTTGTACACTTATTCAAGTCAAATTTACGCCATCCGTTCATTAGACTACCAGGAGGTCTTGTTCTGAGAAGAACGGGCAAAAAACTCAGCAAGTTCGTTACTTCCTTTACATTATTCATTTTTATTATGGAAAAGGTCACAATTCACAAGTTCAATACGTCGAAACATAATAATAATAGGTGAGAAAAAAATTATCTCTATTACATAAAATTCTCGTGTTCAATGTTCGTTCCTATACTCCTCCGAAACGGCTCGACCGTTTCTTATGAATTTTTTTATGCATATTTAGTAAGTCTGAGAATCGGCTACTATCTATTTTGAAACCCCAAAATGTTAAGGGTGGTTCACCCCTAAATTTTAATTTTTTAGATAACATTATTTGTTTAATTTTTTTATGATACAGCATACAAAAATACATACAACCCATAATTTTCACCCCTCTACGATCAAGCCTCTATCTTTTATTTGTTTATTAAAATCTTATGACTTGTACTCTGCTGTTTATATATAGAAAAAAATCACAGAAAAACCTATATAAATAAATTTAGTGATACACAATATTAATATCTCACTATCTTATAGTGGCATTAGTGCCCACACATTCTTATCATCTCTGAATGACTGAACTTTGAAATATGCATTTTTCATTACGGTCTCCTTGATGTAAGGTATAAACTTATGTTACGGAAGTTTGGTTACATGATGTGGAATTTTGTTATATATCTGTATTTATGTGTCAGAAGGAAAGTAGTGAGTTGTTGGTCTGACATATCGGCTATCAGTCGATATGAGCGGTTATCGCTAGTCTAATATAATCTAATATAAGCCTTCTATTATTAGATGTCAGATAATGCGTCAAGTGACATGTGTTTACTTCGCATAGGATTTGTGTGTCGTTTTTTATCAGTGATTCTTGCGCACCTCAAGCGGCAGTACCGCTCCTTGTTGTCTTGTTATGATGCCGTTGCCGGGTGATGATAGGTAATATACAATTGTAAAGTACGGACGAAAGCTAAATTTCGTAATTCAAACATATTCCTACGTTATTTATGAAAAATAATTACGGCGCAAACTTTTTTATTTATATTTATATGTAATTAAATTTATTATTGTTGTTGTGAGTACCTTAGATTATTAGAGTTTTTAATATTTAATCACCATCAGTATTTATAGTTACGATGTAACAACAATTGTGCACACGAAAACAAACGGATTGATTTTCTATAGTTCGTAATAATTTAATGACCGCTAATGGCTACCCTTTGATAGAAGTTCTTTCTATTTGAATTAACCTTGCTGTTCGAGCGGACACGCGATCGTGACGAAACAGTTTTATCTTATTCGCATTATATCGATAATCACAAATGAAATTGATACGACCAGATGAAAATATCTGTTTTTCCTTGAAAAGGGTGGTTGTGGATTGTGGATATTACCAAATTGATTTTATAAATAACCTTATTAAAAGGCTTTCATTGTTGCTGAGGTTGTGGTTAGCAGCTTTTAATGCGTCGAATTGGATGAAATATTAAAGTACAACTATAATTTATATATACAAATTCGTGTGGGCGGGCGGGCGAGGGTGTAACGCGCAGATGCAGCCGGCTAATACCTATATTCTCTGGCCTAGACCTAGATGCACGTCACTGAAAGGATAGCTTTCGCCCATATTACACGTGTTAATCTTGCTATGCCAATAACCCGCCCTCACGATGTCCTCTAAGATAGATGAAATGCTGTGCGTACCTGTTGCATTCGTTTTAATAGTGTTATGTTTTGTTCGCGTTGTTGTCTCCAAGGGCTGTGGATAATGTATCAATGTTTCAGCAAATGCGAGGCGATGACTGACATGCTGAACATGATCAGCAGCCTTCAGTCAAAAAGAATGGATTCACAGCGAGCCGAGCTGCGTCCAGTCCAGGAAAGCACGGGAGCCTCGCTGCCAGGCCTACGAACTCAACAGACAAGGAGTACAAAGCCTGAAGACGATTTTCTGGATATGATCGCTAGAGTTCAGGTTAGTATTAAATAGTTATTTGTTCTTATGAGAAGAAAGACGCGTTGCGATTTTAAAAGCTTTTCGCACATTTTGGCACTCTTTAAACGACAAAGCAGTCTATACCGATTTAGCGAGAATCTAATCCAAGATCTGCAGATTTAACGCATTTATTTATTTTAGATTTGAAACAGATAAATCTCTATACAACAAAAATAGTTAAAAAATAAAACATACAATAAACACATTGGATGTTACCACAAAAATGAAGTCTTTAGAAATTCGACCGTGTCCTTCATGTACGGTTTAAGCACTCGCCCGGTACCGGTAATATAAGAATTGACTTTGACTAATAATGTAAAATTCCTTAAGACAATTTGCGCGCCATTGTGTGTGGCTGAATATGCGAACGATTTACGATTGTACCACCTTTTTTTACCATATTCTTGCGATAAATAAATTATTATTATTAAAAAGTTTTACTCATAAGAAATATGATACAGACATGACATATTGATTTAACGACTCATTCTCCTAGTGGTTAGTACCCCTGACTGCGAATCCATGGGTCCCGGGTTCGATCCCCGACTGAGACGAACATCGATGTGATGAGCATTTGGTGTTGTGCTTAGGTCTTGGGTGTTTAAATATGTATTTATATGTCTATCTATCTATAATATGAATGTATATCCGTTGCCTAGTACCCATAACACAAGCTTCACCAGCTTAGCATGGGACTAGGTCAATTGGTGTGAATTGTCTTTAAATAGATAAATAAAAATATGCAAAGCGACAATGTCGATATTACTTTCTATGTATATTTACCAAAATCACCGTTCCATTCAAAATAACGGGGGTGGATTAAAACAATATTGCGAAATTGATTGCTATTCTAGGAAACATGTGGGGTGTTGGGAGATATGTCAATATTGTGTCGGTGCCGGACAGGAATTAAATGACGCCAGTTTTAACGGGAATTCGGCATTTCTTTGTTCGCCTATCAACTACACAGATTGAAAATGTAATTTCGCTTTAATTTCATGTTGGCTTTATAAAGCGAATATTCCCTTTCATATTTAATATTGGATTTATTTAGTTTATCATTTTATATATACCCCGTATATTTTGATTATTGACCGTGCTGTCTTTGTGTTCGCCTTGGCTCTGAAGCTGAACAATGATTCGTAATTCACGTGTGAAACGTACACCTTGGTGTATCGTATCTTCGTTTTTGCAAACGATGTTTCTATTGTTTATTGTTGACTTAATATGTAATGGTTTTAGGGTTCTCGTCTGGAAGACCAGCGCTCAGAGCTGCCTCGTCCGAAGCCCAAGGAGTCAACGGTGCCCGATGATGATTTCTTCGCCCAACTTATGAAGGCACAATCCGGTCGCTTGGATGATCAACGCGCCACGGTATGAATTGAAACTAAAAACAAAAATGCTAACGGAAGAAATATTTTCTCATATTTGTTCTGTATTCCAGATCCCGCTTCAAGATCGTCAGAACAAGGCTGCGTCAAGCTCAAAAAAGTGAGCTGATGTGAACTCTACAATATAATATCACCCTACTCCTACAACTATGAAATGTTCTTTGTAATATTTTATAGAGTTGAAATTTAGTAATGGCACCGTGTGTGATTGGTATATTTAAATAATTACTATTTTTTCAACCTTTTTGCCATATGCATACATTCCTTGAGTAAGATTTAATTTACCACCAAAGCATCAAGTACATTTATTCTTATGTTTTTATTGAAGGTATAAATAATATAACGATTGAGGTGTTTTAGCCGTGTAATGTTAGTCCTATTATGAAATTGCTCGTTATTTAAGCAATTTCTTTTATCTTGCAAGGCAAACATTGTCTTTGTATAATTTAGTAAAAATCTCATGAATTATGTCAATTATAATTTGATATGCCAAGTGAGATGTTGTCGAATGTACTCATTATTTATATTGTTAAACCTAAGTACTTGTATTTATTTAAGTGACGGTGCTGCAGTAAGTGAACAAATCTTTTCATATACACTGATAGTATCCTAACATTTGAAATCTTGATGTTTCTCTAAATGTAAAATTTTATGAATGTCCAAACAATTAGGTCCTAACAGATGTTGCCAAATTTTATATTTATATTTAAATGTTGAAATATTACGGACTAACCTGGCCTATTACTATTACTTATAATAACCTAACATGGTGTGAACAATACAATTAGGCTATATTTAGATAGAGTTATTCGAAATTTACAGGAATGTCCTTCTCAAAACAAACTCATTTGTTTCATTTATTAACTGTTCTTAAAAGTGCGAAATGTTGAAAATTAAATTTTTGAGACCTACAACATAACTTCATTTATTTTGTATGATTGTCACAGTAATAAAATATTTTGTTAATTATTGTGGAATTGCCGAGTTCTTATTTATAATTAAACTGTTCTAATCTGGATTTCTTTTATTATTTTTTTTTGGTAATAATCAATTAAGTTCTAATGCTTAGTTCATATGAGAAGCATTAACATGACGGCATAAAGTGCCCGCGACACTCCGCAGTCTGGCATTAATGATGGCATTTTAATTTACAATTCGTCATTTGAGATTTCAATTAATTATTTTGCATAAAATATAAAATACTAATATTTCATAAATTCTCTTAACGAAATTTTAATTTTAAAAATAAAATTTCAGTAAGGTAATTCGCCCGTCTCACTCTCTCTCAATCGCTCTCTCCTTTTGCTTCGACAAAAACGCTGCACATCTTCGTGACGCTAATATTATTATTGCCTTTCATCGGTAAAAATATACCCTCGTGCGCCTAAAGAAGTTTCACTTCAAAAAAAATATAGAACCTTAATCTAAATTCTAAAGTAATACAAAAACATATAAATAAAACAAACTAAAAACTATAAAGCTAAACTCACGGATTCATGAATGGCGATGCAATACAAAAGAAAAGGAAATACAAGAATTACACAAGTCACGATTGATTAGGATAGGATAAGGTTAAGAAAAGATGACAGAGAGGTAGCCAATCCTATGGAGTCGGGCAGCCTATTCAACACAGCTTAATGGCGGAGATCCTAAATGAATTGCCTATGAATGTTGAGATGTGGGATGGAATTTACAAAAGCAGAAGAAATTGCGCTAACAAAGTTTTAGTGCGGATAGGAAGTAAATTAGACGTTTGACTAGACGGCATTAGAAGCGGCGTAAAGTTTTTGAATTCAAGTGAGTTTTTGTTATGGTTTATGAGTTGAGTTGAGTTTGACTAATTTGAATAGGAATGGCAATACTCAGAGTATTGGTTCCTATGTTTTGTGTATCAAGTGGAAGAGATAAACTTAACTTATCATCGAGTAGTCGAGGAGGTTAAGGTTTTTTTAATTGAACTTAAGGAAGTTCATGCTGTGAGTACCTAGTCGAGACGGAGTTTAAGGTTTTTAAATAAACTTAGAGAAGTTTATGTAGTGAGCAGTCGAGAGGGAGTTTAAGATTATTATAGTAAAAAAGGTTTTTAATGTTATAATATAGTTAAATGAAAGAACGTGTTTAGTCGAGTAGGAGTTGGACAAGTGAGAAAGGATTAAAGGTAGCGACTTTAAAGTTGATATTAATTTGAAAGGTTGAATGAATAGTTGTTGGTTGAATTGCGAGGGAATATTTCTTTATTAAATGGAGTTAAGTGGAAGTAATTGAATGTAAGTGGTATACCTAATGTGTATGGAAGGTAGTGTTTAATTTATGAAGGTCTGGTTAGTGAGATATTTGTTTTTGGTATATTGTACTAAAATTAGGGGGTTAAATGTGTGCAAGTGTTGAGGGGGTGTGTTGGAGTTTGAAAATGTAAGTAATGGCATGGCAAAAAACCCTAGGATGTTTCACTGTCTGCGTCTAGAAGAGCAGTCCTTTTTCAAAACAGAAAACAATAATCTTAATATATATTAATTACGCTTCACGTTGTTTTGTCCGCTATGGACTCCTAAACTACTTAACCGATTTCAATCAAATTTGCCCATCGTGTGCAGTTTGATCTAACTTATAAGATAGGATAGCTTAAATCTTAATTTATACCCGCAATATTATTTTATTGCAAATTATTTGTTTATTATTTGACAGTCACAATTCTAACAGATGGCGCTGTGTTGAAAGTACCAACGTTTCACCTAAGCTACAATTTTATGGCAAAACCACCAAAAAAGCATGATGGTCCCCATAACTAGTGTTCTCCTTCCGTTTCCCTTGAATAGTTTACTATTATATAATATAACAAAAACTTAAGCCACAGCAACGCTTGGCCGAGTCTAAATAAAATTTAAATACTCATTCCAATATTTGCAATCAAAAACGTTTTCGTTACATTTGACAAGTGTTGCCTGCCATTACTTACATATTCACTTCACTTCACTTCACTTTATTTATAATGGCGACATCTGTGTAAATCACAATTCCGCCAAATACTTACATATTCAAACTCCAACACCAACCCTTTTACAATCAAAGGTATGAGATAATAATCTGATGAAATGTATTAAGAATCTATTATGTCAGATTTGTTATCTGTATTATATTTCAAAAACATCACCTTTCACATTTGACAGTGATAAATGATAGTTTAACATGTCACGTTATGTCATGGTAGTAAACGCGAAATACTAATTTAATACAAAGCAATATTTAGTATTTCTATATAAATAGATTCATGTTCAAACACAGTATAAGTGTTGCCTCTAGTGCCCTATGAGTTTATTGTATCCTAAAAGTGTCGTGTAAACAGTGCGTGTCGCTTAATTAAAAGTAACTTGTTGCGGTGGTGGGCACTGACCACTGAGGAACGAGTTCTTAAAACTTCTTGAAGTTTCCATGCTTTTTCACGCGAAATGGATGATTTCCATAATCAGCCTAGCACACCCAGCTGCGACTAGTAAGTACAATTGACGTAGACATACTTATGTAGATTTGACTCTAAATGACCTTTATTTGTGATTACTCTAAAATTTGATTTGTGAGACACCTTTATTATGTTTTTTTAAACTATATTTTTTAAATTTTTGTGTAACTTAATTGTATAGTAGCACACAGATAATTTTTTATTAACATTAAACTAAACTATGATAATGCTCACTATTACTTTATTTGCTTAAACTAGTAAGTTTTTTATACCAATTTAGTTTTTAAAATGCTTCTAGACTGGTTCTTGAGTAAAGTAGACGCTTACATTCTAAGCATTGAATTTCACTTCAAAGAGTTTTAGTCTCAGAGACTCTCTACTTTTTGTGATGGGGTAACTCTGGAATTATATGAAGAAAAGCATCAAAATGACAGTGAAAAACAAATCAAAAAGCAGTTCTAAGCTACTTGGCAAGTGATAAATGACAATACTGTAGCTTCTTCCAGTATGAAAGAAGAATAAAACTGCCTAAAAGCTAAATCAAGCTCAATGGCTAAGTAATTAGTTTTAACCTCGAATTACTCTCTGCCTTTGAAGAGTGTTTTACTAATATTTCAATGAATACAACTAGAATTCTTAATTATTTATTATCTGCTACTCTTTTACTATTACAAAATAAAGTTTCTATGTGCAATCAGAACATTATATTTAACTAGTTTGTTGCTAGGATATCAAAACATTTTAACTTCTTCAATTATATTGTAAATGGGCAGCACTTCTAACCCGACGAACATTTATCCTGAATCTCTTCTGCCTGTGTTAAATAAAAATTTTGAAAAAGTAATGCTTGACCATTTAATGACCCTCTTCAATAATAATGCGCTTTTGCCTAGTCTGTTATAATTGATGCTGTTTTCAAATTAATTTCTGAGATCTTAATTAAACTTTTGGGAAAATTCTCATGAAAAGATTCATGTCAATATACTATGATATTAGGGCAAAAGCATAACATTAATTAAATTGTTGGTCGGATTCAAAAGATTAATGTACATAGAACAACTTTACTTGGATCGTCTGTTATTATGAGTATACCGGTAGGCCTCCATACATGGACCCTTTTTTTTAAGAGTGCTTGACGCGATTGTACTGTTTGCTCATGACACTTCGATTGTTTTTTAAAGAGAAACGACGAGATCCATTACTTAAAAATAAACAGTGGAATTTCTAGTGTTCTTCACTGGTTTAAAACCAATAATCTTAATCTAAACGAAATGAAGACAAAATGTATTAAGTTTGCAACAACAAACATTAAATATAGTAATAAAGCTAAGCTCCGCAGAATTTGCAGTGAAAAATTCGTGATGGATGGAATGGTTACTGTGAGTCGACTTTAAAAGATACATTGTAGCTATCTAGACTTTTTTCGGAACTTTCAAAGAAGAACAATTCCGTTATACATGGTTCTTGCGTAACTTTCACTATTTACACAGTGCTCGCTGCAGAAGCTCTCAAACTTGCTCAAGCTCTCAAGCTTCAAACCTCTAACAACATACTAATTAAGGGCTGTTTGTAGAGGGAGGGATGGGAAATGTGTATAACTCACCTTTAAAAGGGAGGGATACGAAAAATCTCCAGAGATTTTTTTAA